GCAGGAATATGAAAAAAGGCTAAATATAATAATCTTCAGAGAACTGCAAATCACAACCACAGAGATATCATCTAACACCGGTTAGGATGGCTATTATCAAAAACAAAAGCAAACAAATGCTGAAAGAGAGGCGAGCAGGTGGCATGGAGTTTAAGGCAACTGGCACTGAGTTTAAGGCAGATGGATCCCCCACGGCCAAGTGTGTGGTCTGAGTACTGGACCTAGCAGCCTGAAAAATACACTAGGTGCATGTGCAAACATGCCCAAAATTCCAAGAGAAAAATGAAGAAAGGATGTGGTTTGGCTATCCTTCCAGGAGGTGATTGCTCACTTTTTCTCTCTCTTTCTCTCTCTGTCTCTTTCTGGTGAATGAATGCACCCTATACCAAAACTAAATAAAAGAAAAATGCCAAAAGGAAAAAGGAATGCTTGCATACTGTTGGCAAAAACATAAACTGGTACAGCCACTACAGAAAACAGTATGGAGGTTGCTAAAAACAAAACATTAGAAAGAACTACCATAGGATTCACTTCTGGAGCTATAGCTACAGGAATTGAAAATAGGATCTCAAAGAGATACCTGCTTTCCCATGTTTTCAGCAGCATTACTCACAATAACCAAGACGTGAAAGTTACCTAAAAGTCCATTGGTGGATAAGTGGATAAAGAAAAGGCTGTATATACATAAAATGGAGTATTTTTCTGACTTTAAAGAAGGAAATTCTGCCATTTGTGATGTGGATGAACCTAGAGGACATTATGCTAAGTAAAATAAGCCAGAACACAGAAGGAAAAACACTAGATTATACCACAAATATGGGGAATCAAAAATAGTCAAACTCATAGAAGCAGAGAAGAAAACACTGGTTGCTAGGGGCTGTGAGGAGGAGAAAATAGGGAGGCATTAGTTACAGGGTACAAAGTTTGCAGATGACCAAGTGAACCTAATGATCTGCTGTACAACGAGATGCCGGTGGTTAGCAAGACTGTATGGTACGCTTAAAAATTACTAAGAGAATAGATCTTATGTTTAGTATTTTTGTCACAAAATGGTAATAAAGAGTGTAGGAGAAAATTTTTGGAGGTGTTGGATAGATTTATAGCATAGATTTCAGTGATGGTTTCACAACTGTATACTTTTATCACCAAACTTAAGTTGTATGCATGAACTATGTACAGCTTTTTCTATGTCAATTATATCTAAACTTTAAAAACAAACGACACCACAGCACCACATTGGAAACAATGGCTTGTGCATGCAGAAACACAAATTACCTGTTTCCTTTTCTGCTGGGCCTAAAACATAAGAAAAGACAATTTAAGAGGAAAGCAAACTTTGACTTACTCACAGAATGCAGAAGGCCAATCGGGCAGACAAAAACAGCCTACTTTCTATTTCTAACTTAATTTTTATTTTGCTCTTGGGCTGGTCCTGAGCATAAAACAAAATCAATAATTACTGGTTTTTTTTAATTAAATTTTTTTAATTTAAAAAACTAAGGAAGGAAAATAACAAAAAAGCATATATATTTTTTCTTTTCTAATGAGCAAGCTTTATTTATTTATTATTATTTCCCTCAAAAACAGATGGTCTGTTAGTCCTATCTGAACGAGTTGCTAGAATCCATTTTTTAGAATATTCTCACAGTAGACTAGAGACAATGAAGTGGTGATTTCAGAAAAAGTTGAAAGTGTTCCCTGTTCGCTGTACATTTGGTACTACTACGCACTTTTTGTTTAAAAGACAAACTTGTTTTCTATGTGTACAAGAGAAGGTTTTTATTTATCCATATTTTAATGAACTCTATGACTATAACAAACAAAGAAACATACTGCGTATCAATCCAGTATTCCTGGACAAAGTAATGATCAATATGTTAACAGAAAAAATTATGAACAAAAGAATTCTTATTGTTTTTTTGTATATTGTTTTTTAAAACAATATTATATTTATTCGATTGTTCACAAACTTTTTTCTCTTTGCCAGATTTAAAAGGCAAATACGTTTATGTTTATATCAGTTTTTCCAATCCATGTTCAGAATACCCAATAATCCTGAAACCAAAATTATATGAATAAGTGTTCGAACTAAAAACCAAAGTGCTTATCTTCACTTTCCCCCAATGATCTAATGTTCATTGCTTTTGCTTTAACACAACACGGTATCATAATTAATGATGTTAAACTGGTAGCTAAGGAGGTTTCATGTTGTTACTCTCGTGATATAATATTGGTTGCTATAGTGATGAGATGGCTTTTTTGTTAATCACTCAGGAGGTTGGTTATCTCATGCTTGTTAGAAAGCTTGAGCAGAAATGGAGAGAAAAAGGAATGATAACACAGTCAATCATAATCAGTGTTCTCCATTGGTTGAATATTGATAAAACTATCATAATGACAACTGATTAATAAATTTATAATTAACTCATTAAGCACAATTTTATATTAGCACTACTAACTCTTTCTAAAAGACAACTTCTAAAAATGTGTTTAACATAACTGCAAACTTCTCCCTCTCTCATTAATGCTATATATGTAAGCCAGTTTTATGATAATATGGACAAAGAATTTGAGACTTTTTCTGTTACTTTTATCAATAAGAACTGGTTTTATGACTTTACCACGAATTCCATTCTACTTATTTCTAATCATTTTAAATGTCAATATCTTTAATGAACAAAAGCTAAAGAGGAAAAAAAGTGCACAATCCTCTCAAGAGATCTAATCTTTTAAATGCATCAATATATTATAAGCAATTAAAAGCTTTGAAAGTTCTATCAGTTATTTCAGCCCTCATGATCAACAAGTTTCCTTTTCTGAGTGACACTACAAAATAGAAAATAAAATTACGTAATATTACATTGTTACTGATCAGGAAAGAATCCACTATCCTTAATTTAAATGTTAGACATACTTACAGTAATGTCAAAACTACAACCCATGAAAACACCTTTTCGTTTCTTGAAAACTCAAAATAAGAACAAAGGACAACTTAAGCACGAATCCTGGGTCTTTCATTCAAGCAGAGTCCCAGGAGGCATATTAAAGCAATGAATAGGAAAAAGCTCTTCAGTTCACCAGCTGAGATTTTAATGAGACATTTCCCTTTGCTATGGTACAGGATTGTTCAGGAAAGGAAAGGACTTCTCATAGAAAATTCAGTTAATAGGCATTGTTGGCTCTCACTGCCACTTCGGCAATTGCTCACTGCACTGACCTTCTATTTTGGCATATTCTGTGAGCCTAGTGTAATTGATCAAGGCAGCTTTCTCGAGACATTTTCTGACCACTTTCTTCACCTCTTCTGCTGGTATGGGAGTGGCAATATCTTTCATTAAAACCTACCAAAGGGTTGCAGGGGAGAGAGAGACAGACAGACAGACAGAAGAAGGTTGTTTCATCAAATAAATGCTGAGCACAAATAAAAAAAAAAAAATCCTAGACTATTACTAGAAAGGGGCCCTAGGTAACATGGGGGAAGTAATGAGTGGGAGCTTTTCAACTGAGTACTAATCCTTCAATCTTGGCTCCTCCTGTCTAAGCCTCATTTATGCACCTCAAAACCTCCCATAGGCCAGGCCACCATTCAGTATGACAGTCGTTTTGCCTCCAAGGACCACGGCACCATTAGAGCAGCCGTTTTAGATCATTATTATAGTTCTTGGGACAAGTAACAATGTTTATCTTGTACATGCCTAATTTAAGAGCCTTAAATCTTTTGAGAAATTTATTTGAAAACAATAACACAAAATCCATGAAAAATTAGCATGATTTTCGTGCTCTAAAAAATAATTCAGGACTTCAACTCTAAGTAAACTTTAATGATTACGATCTGTGAGGCAGCCTATGAAAAGAGAGGGGAATAAATTTGTCTTAGTGCAATGAAGGCTTATGGTGTATCAAATATTAAAACACATGGAACCATTACTACCGTTTTGAAAAATAACTGATTCTTTTGTTGGGTTGCTAAAATGTGCTTTTGGATTTTTTCCTTAAACTATTTTACTGCAGGCAAGGGGAAAATAAAATTATGTCATTTTGAAATGTCATGTATTTAAGCACTTTTACAATGACGCATTGATAATTTCTCTACACGTCTATTGGTGATAAGGCTGCTCGCAATAAATTTTGATTAACCTATTAGAGTTTATTTTTCCATATATTTAATGAAATTTTTAAAAATTTGCTTACATTACAACTACAAAATATATGAGAGAATGTGAACATAGAGAAGGCAATGCTTTTGTATGTTTACTAACTATTCTTTTACTCTTTTTTTCTTAGCAGAAATATTGAAAGAACTCACACACAAAAGCCATGCCATGATTTTTTATTTCATTCTCTTTTGAGTCAGCCTCAGCACTAGGGTTTTCTACTCTACTCAGTCATCCAAGCATCAGTGACCCCTGACAACATTTTAAAATTGTTAGACAAGATTTCCTTTTATGGAAAATAGCAAATGTTATCACCTAAAAAATTTCTTCCTTATCAATTTCCATTAATTTTACACATATTTGGTGCTTTAATTAGAACTGTATGTGATCCTTCGTAGTCAGAAATATCTTTTGGCACACAGTACAAAACACACAAGCATTAAATGTACATTATTCTTTTAAGTGCGATTATTACTAAAATTTAAACTTTAAGGTTTTGTTCTATGTGCTGAACTCTGAATTTTACTATGAGGCTTCCCAGGGTGACAAACTTTAAATCACAGAAACAGTTGTTAAAATTAGACTATATGTTTGCCACAGAGGTGATTCCAGGGTATCAAACAGGCAATATTTCATATTATCTAGGTGTTAGGAATTTAATTTGGAGATTGGGAGTGAGAAGCATAGGTATAAAATCTCTTCTTGGCAAAGTACAAAAAAGAACTGGAAAATGCAGAAAGGAAGACATCAACCTCTGTTTTATGTTTCCTGTCATGTTCCTCCAAGTTATCATATGTATCAAGAATTCACATGCAGATTTTATTTTATTTTTCTAACTTGCCATTAGGTAAAGAGATGCAGAAATGAAGAAATGGCCCTTAACACTTCACTCTCGATTCAGCAAGAGATGTGATTAGTGACTGTAACTGGAATAAAGGTCACTGTTCACCCTGCCACCTGTCAATGCAGGGCAGGAGGGCATCTCTGCTGTTACTAACTCTTCCCTGCTGTGAGGAGGAAGGGGGGTGGGGTCTGCCATGGAAACCAGGACACAGAAAGCCTGCACTACATACCCCTGATAGGATGCAGTTCCAAAAAGTAAAACAGTCTGCAAAAATTTTATTTTATCCATGATACCTTAATGAATAGCAATAAATAAATACTTTGAAAAGCCTGGGTTACATGCAGCTTTTAATACTGCAAACATTTGAATGAAACATACTTACTACAATAATATTTTTATTACAGAATGTACAAAAATCAACTATAAGAGAGGGGTGTATAGGTAAAATTTGTCTATAATCTAAAGATCTCATTTTAATCATCAGTGTTAGTCCTCGTCTCCCAAGTTCTTAAACCACTGAAATAGAGATGTAATGTTTGAACAGTCTTCTCTCCTTGCTTTTCATAGAGATGCTAATCAACACTGTGACATCTAAAATTAATTTGGCAGAAAATTAGACAAGATCAAGTGTTTGAAGTCAGCAAATGAGTAACAGGACAGTCAAACCATGACCTATAGATAAATTTTAGAATTCATTTTAATTGCAAGATGGAATAGGAGACCATTTTACTGAACCATTAGTACTCAACTAGCATTTGAACAGATTTACAGACAGAAGAAAAGGAAACTTGCTTTTCAAACCTCAACTGTCACAAAATAGGAGTAGAAAATATATATTTTTCTATGCAAAAATGCGTCATGAGTTTTCCGATGACACAATACTTTCATTAAAACATGACTTTTCTTAGCATGGATTTAATATTTTGTTTGCTTTTTTGGAGGGGGGGTGAATTTCTGTAACTTGTGAATTCATTTAAAATAACACATAAAATGAAATAACTGAAATAAATTCCAAGAAACATTTTGAATGAAAAGAAAACAGTGTCTGTAAATATTAAATGATAAACTCTTACATGCATGAGGATATGACAAGTAGAAAACAAAGTTGAGGGGAGAATAAGGTATCTGTGAAGTCTGAAAAGCAGAGATAATTATATGTAACTGGAAAACAGGACTATTTTATAGGTGGGGGAAGAGGTGGGAGAAATGGATACTACCAAAAAGATGCCCTAATATCAGAATAGAATGGTGTGTTAGGTTTAGGAAAAGCTTCAGGGAGGAAGAAGCAGGCCTAGGAGGGCATCTCTGTGAATACCCTGCCAGTAAGTACAGGGGATTAAATTCATGAAATGTGATGGCCTTGGTCAAGGGCACAGACTCATGCCCTGTCTGCCTAATTCAAAAACTAAAATACACAACAACTGAGAACACGAATAGTATTTAAAAAGTAATGTTCCAACATACCCTCTCAAGTAATGAAAGTGTAGCTTTTAGAGCACCTTCAGGTCGTCCAAAGGGAAAACAGTATCTTTAAAAACAAAAGAAGGAACAAAAAAGCAAACATTTAATATCCAAGACTGCTTAATAATCCCACTTATATTATTTGGCATGAGGGTAATAAAGGGAGGTGAAAACGGCAACAACTCATCGAGGAAAATTTTAATGGCTAAAGTTCACCTAGCCCTATGATTTTGAGGCCTAAAACAACACAGGTGTAAAATGTGATGAACACAATTCTAAAATTTCAACGCTGTGTGTACTAAATGAATACTTTAAACAAAAAGTAGCCTCAAGGGTCATGAATAAAGAGTCGCAGGCATTCCCTAATACTACCTTGTTCAAAATCGGTGGTTACTGAAACTCGAAGAGATAGGGCCAGCAAGGCGGCATGGTGGTTAGACGCGCCCACATGGCCAGACACAGTTCAAGCTCCGGACCTGGTGACCTGCTTTCTCACTTTCCCTCTTTCTCTCTCTCAACAAATTAAAATAAATAATGAATAAATAGCATTAAAAAGAAAAGAGGAAAAAAACCCAAAAACCTCCAAGAGACAATGAAATGATTTCCCCATTTCCTCCTACTGATCTCTAACTTTTAGGACCAACAAGGTTCTACTTGCTGCTGGCTGACATTTTCCTGCCTCGATGGTGTCTAACTCCTTAGCCTGCCCACAGAATACACACAAACCTGCAGTTCTTTTGTCAGGAGAGTTACTAGAGTTATTAGACCCAGATTTTTCTCATCCTAGGTATCCCTACTGACACCAACAACCAGAGAGTGGGTTGGGGGATGTTCTGAAATGAGGGTCAGAAGTTGTCACACGGTGGAAACAGGTTTGTTGCTCTTTACAAGAGGATGCCTCTTCAGGTCAGTTTCCACTTAAGAGAGTATGAACATCAGTGCCATTCTGTCCTGCTGGAGCTCCTGGCTTTGCTGAAGTAGATTCGACAAAGCACCTCCTTCTAGGACTGCGGCTTTTATGCTAAAATCAAGTACTGTAGGCCGCGGGGCTGTCCTTAGGTTGCACCTTGACTTAGAAAATGGCAAACGAACAACTTAGAAAGCGGTTTACTTATCTCCATGTCCTTTTCCAGAGACTCAGTGGACATATTTTGAAACAATGAAATTATTATTTTTTCACACTATAATTTAAATGAGGTTAAAAAACTCATGTTTTAAGTTTAATTTGCTTTAAAGGACCCAATTTAAAGAAAAGGTTTGATTTCTCTCTTAAAACAAAGCAGCGGTTTGGTTTAAACTAGGACTGGGTTATCATGAAACTTTCATTCATCTCAGGTAAATACAAATAAATACTACATAAATCTAGTCACTCATTTTTTCTTCCAAGGACTGTATTTATTATTTTACTTACTGCTGAAAATTTATTTGCTTAATCTTGCTTCTGTGTACCCTATTATCCTCTTCCCAACACAAGAAAGGTACAACTAATTGATTTTGATAGAGTTTATCCTATTCAGTGGGGCTTTTTAAAGCATTAGCAAATTAGCAAAATAGCTTTAATCATTCTGTATACCATAAAGCTTAATCCACGTTTAAATAAAACACAAATTGGGTTCTTGTAGTCCCCTCCTCCTGCTTAATCTTTTCAGTGTATTTGCATAATCCACTCATTGTCTTTCCTATTGTTTATTTCCATTAACTTGTGGGTGACACATTTTATGAATGGAATGTTACTGATCTCCAGATTACATTTAGCATTTCAGGGCTCTGAGGTCCCACTGGGTGTGTTCTGAATTAGCATTAGCTGCCCATGATGTGTAAATAATTCAACACATTTACAGAGTACAAGTAATCCTGAATCAATAAAGTACAGAAAATAACTACACAGAACCTTAATTAATCTTTACAAAAAAACAAGTTTTTTTTAAAAGGGAATTATTTTGGTCTGCCTTCCCGGATAAATATTTTGGGTTTTTACCACTCTGACAGCCTTACGACAACAAAGCAAAGTGTAAATACTTAATTATCAAATAAAATTCAACCACATTGAATATCTAATCTGTATAAATTAAAGTCATCCTTATTCCCACTTTGGTAAATTAATTACGAGATACATGAGCCTGCATAGACTTGTTTTATGACTAAACCTTTTCTTTTCCTTACATATTTCCTAATACAGTATTTTATTTAAGTTTCATATGATCATAGTCTAAAAAAGGCATTTCTTCTAAATAGGTCTTTCAGAGCAATTCCAATAGATTCCATGTAATTTCTGCTTTCTGGGGAAAAAAAAAATCCAACTTTTAGTTCACTCCTTTGGCATTTAAACGTCATAACCCTAACTGCACACTAACATATTATTTACTTCTTGATTTTTTTCAGTGTTAGATATCATCTACTAATTTCCTAATATGGAAGAGAAGCATTCAGCTTTTTTTTTTTCTCATAGTTTTATTTAGAGGGTGACAAACAATGAAGTATGCATATTTAAAATATTCGATTTTGCTGTTATTTTTTTTTTTTTTAAGGTTTTTGCCATAGGGTATGTGCACTTGCCAGAGAGAGACAGAAAGAGACAACAAGAGGGAAAGTGACAAATCACCCCCCAGGAGGATGACCACAACACAATTCCTTCTCCTCCATTCTCCTCCTGGGATTTTTGGGCACACACCCAAAACGCCTGGTTTTTAAGCCTCCAGGTCCAAGACTTGAACTGTGTTTAGCTATGTGGTGGTCCAACACCTTAGCCACCACACCACCTGTTGGCCCTGAATTTTGCTAAATTTTAATGTATCACCACAAGGTAACTCATGACCTCAAAATGTTTCCTAACCACTGATTTACTTTCTGTTATTTAGATTAGCTTGTATGTCTAGAAGTTGATGCAAAAGAAAACATATATGTACTTTTTGAGTCTGATTTCTCTCACTCTGCAGTTATTTTGATATCTGTTCATGTTGGTGTATAGAGCAACATCAACATTTTTGGTGTTGCTATATACAATTTTCTTTTTTTTTTTCTTTTAGAAAATACCTACAAGTGCAATGGCTAGGTCATATGATAGGCATTAAATTAAAAAAAAAAATTAAGAGAGACTTTTGCTATAGGGCATGTGCACTTGCTGGAGAGACAGAGAAAGACAGAGAGACCGAAAGTAAGAAGTTATCCTTCAGGGGGTTTGCCATGATCCACTCCTTTCTCCATTCCTCTCTGGGATGCTGGGCATGCACACACACGGGCCTGGCGTGAGTTTCAAGCCTCGGGGTCTGGGACATGAAGCGCAGTTGGTTGTGTGTGAGCCCAGAGATGTAACCACTACATCATCTGTTGGTCCCAGCCACTTAAAATTTTAAGAACCTCCTGAGCAATTTTCCAATGTAGGCTACACCATTTTACATTCCTGTCAAGAGCATATTAGAATTCCAGTTACTTCACATTCATGCAATACTTGTTAGGTTCAGCTTTTTGTTTGTTTTGTTTTGAACATTAGCTATACTAATAGGTAGGTAGTGATACCTACCGGATTTCTTATTTATTTATTTATTTTAAAGTTTCTGCTCCAGGGCACATGTGCTCACTAGAGAGAGAGAGACAGAGAAGCAGAGACAGAGAAAGGGAAAGTGAGAAATCATGCGCCCAGGGGCGTTGGGGGATGGCCATACAACAATCCCTTCTCCTCCACTCTCTTCTTTGAATATTGGGCATGCAAGCACATGTGCCCAGCATGATTTTTCAAGCCACTGGCTCTGGGACTTGAACCATGGTCAGCCATGTGGGAGTCCCTTGTCTTCACTGCCACACCACCTGCTGGCTCCCCAATGGGTTTTAAATTGCATTTTCCTATTGAGCAGTGACATTGAGGGTTTTTTTATAGGCCTTTTGTTATCATACATCATGGTGAAATAGCTCTTAAAACAATTTTTATTTACTTATTTATCCATTTATTTTTAATTGTTAGGAGGCATATATGATAGCCGGAGAGAGAGAGAGAGGAGAGAGAGAGAGAGAAAACACCTTGCAGTGGGGCAAAGTCATGCCAGGAAGCCAGAATTCCTTCTCCTCCATTTCTCCATCCTGTGAGGATTTGGAACATGCCTGTACGCCTGCCCAGCATGCTTTCTGAACCCCTGGGACTGGGATCTGAGAAGCAGCTGACCATGTGGGATCTGGCTCCATTAACCACTATGCTATGGGGTTGGCCCTAGAAACATTTTAATCGGGTAAATGTGTTCCTTAAAATTAAGTTTTAAGAGTTTATTTTGAATAAAAGTCTTCTGTGGGATATATAAATATTTTCTTCTGTTCTGTGATTTTTCCTTTTATTCCCTTAATGATGTCTTTTAAAGATCTATAGCTCTTTTTGTTTTTGTTTTTTTTTGGTCCAAATTCAAGGCAGCATTTTTTTTTTCCATTTATGAATCACAGTTTTGTGTTTTAAGTATATTTAGCCCAAGGACAGAGATTTTTCTCTTTTATTTTCTAGCACTACCCATTTGGAGACAACTTTTGTGTCTGGTGTGAGCATGGATTGAGGTGAAGAGTTTGCAATGGAATATCCAATAGTTCCAGCACCAAGTGTTGGCAAAAAGTTTATTTTGCAAGTTTCCTTTGCATGTTTGTTGAAAATCAACTGTCCATGTACGTGTGCGTGTTCATTCCTGGTCTCGTAAAAGAACACTAGCTTTCTAAGTTCTGGAATCCGGAGTCTTAGGATTCCAATGCTGTCCCTTTTTAAAGTTAAATATTTTATATTTACAAATAACTTTAGAATTAAGTTGTTATTTTCTGAAAGCTCCTACTGGGATTTGATTGGGAGAGCACTGCATTTATAGCTCAATTAAATGAGAATTGTCATCTTGGCAATATCGAGTCTTCAGCTTGATCATTATCAAAACTGTGGTATTAAAAACTGAATGTAAGCTACGTGCACGGAAGCATTTGTAAACTATTGTCTTTAAAGAAACGAATCTGGCTGGGCTATTTGAACGGGACATCTTTGTTGTCAACAGCTTTACATCTTTTCTCTTGGGCTAGAGACCCAGGGGAGGACATGTGGGACATGTATGA